AACTTGTATCCACTTGAGAAAACCTAACACAGGGTCACTGCTGAGAGTGAGTGAGAGGAGGTCCTCGTTGGGGTGTGAGTAGGTGAATACTTGTGGCCAGCAGAGTCAGCTAGGAGCGGGTGGCTGAAGCCTAGAGTGTCACGGTCAGGAGTTGGCTCTTCATTCTGTAACATGAAGGGTGGCAGGCCTATTGCTAGAACATGGTAAGCAGTCTGTAGTGGACACTGAGCCACTGCACTTCATTAGTGGTGGTCGCCCCAGGAGGCAGGGAGGCAGGGCACGAATACTCTTGCCAGGCTGTCTGTGGACAGTGTACCTGCCATAGGTTGACCTGGGCTTCGCAGGTCTTTTGAGTCCTGGCTCCCACACTCATTTAGTTGGGTAATTAGGGGAAGTGAGTAGACCACTTTGTATTTTAGTTTCCTGCTTTACAATATGTGAGTAATGATCAAGTATTTCATATGACTAGGATAATTTTACATTCATTTTATTTTCTTATTTTGTTTATTTTTCCAAACAGGGTTTTTCTCTGTAGCTCTGACTGTCCTGGAATTTTCTTTGTAGACCAGGCTGGCACAGAGATCTGCCTGCCTCTGCCTCTCCAGTGCTGGGAATAAAGGTCAAGGCATGTGCTACCACTGCCGGGCCGACATTACATTTCTATTGCTGTGATAAAACAGTGTGGCCAAGGCAATTTAGAAGAAAGGGTTTATTTATGGCTAATGGCTTATGGTTCCACAGTGATAAGTCCACAATGAGGGAGGAGAGCTAACAGTAGAGGTGGGTGGAGCAGGACCGCAGAGCTCAGCTGCAGATGGGAAGCAGAGAGTACACTGGAAATGGCGCATGGCTTCCGAAGCCTCAGAGCATCTCATTCACGCCACACATACAGAGTGTTCTGTGTCTGGTTGGCCTCGGGCAGTCACTCAGTCACCTGTGCCGAGTCGGGACATTGCAAAGCTGAGACTGAAGTAGACTAGATGGCATTGGTTACCAGGGCGTGGGAGTGGCGAGTAGGGGAGACACCCAGGTTGACTGTGAAGAGCTGAGCCAGTGTGGAGGCCATGGGAGCCTGGTGGGTGGACTGTCAACTTAGGGACAGTCTGAGTTTCTGGAAGTAGGGCTACGTTGATCCACAGTGCTGGAGAGGTTTCTGTCCCTCAGAGAGCAGAGCCAGTTTGGGGGGTGTGGCTCTGAGGGAAAGAACACTGTTGGGCAGTGTCTGTGCGCTGACCCTCCTTGCTGCTTTGGCAGGTGCCCCGCACCTCAGAGATTTATATCCACCGGAGTGGTCGGACTGCCCGTGCTACCAGTGAAGGCCTCAGCTTGATGCTGATTGGGCCCGAGGATGTGATGAACTTCAAGAAGATTTACAAAACTCTGAAGAAAGATGAGGACATCCCACTGTTCCCAGTGCAGTCAAAGTACATGGATGTGGTCAAGGTAAAGCGGTTTAATCCCCCCCCCCCCCCCCCCCCCCCCCTCCCCCTGCACAGAGCACCTTGCTCTGAGACCAGAAGCCTTACCCTAGAGAACTGAGAAGTGGTTCTGCTGATGGCTGGATGGTGGCTTTTTTAAAAAGGCTGGGAGAAAGGCAGAAAAGGGTTGTGGTGATATTTTTCTGTGCTTTAACAAATAAAGCTTGCCTGAAGATCAGAGTTTGGAGCTAGCCACTAGTTAGCCATAGAGGCCAGGCAGTGGTGGTATAAATCTTTAATCCCAGCACTTGGGAGGCAGAGGCAAGACAGATCTCTGTGACTTCAAGGCCAGCCTAGGCTATACAAGATAGAATCAGTCTTAGAGAGAAACAGAGCCAGGCAGTTGATGGCTCACACCTTTAATCCCAGCACTAGGAAGGTGAGACAGGAAGGGATACAGCTGGATGGATAGAGGGATATAAAGCGGGAAGAGACAGGAGGCATAGCATTCAGTCTCAGTCTGAGGATTCCTGGAGACAGGATCACCCATTCGGTCTGAGGAATCGGTAGAGGTTAAGAACTAGGGGCTGGCTGCTCCGCTTCTCTGATCTTTCAGCATTTACCCCTTTATCTGACTCGGGGTTCTTATTATTGAAGACCAATTAGAATTCGTGCTACATTTTCTCCCCCTGTCCAGTTTGGTGTCTGATCTTGAAGTCTCCACTGCTTTCACTCCAACTAGACAGTGCAGTGAGCACAGCCATATTGACATCTGTCAGAGAGCTGTGCACAGCAAGGTAGATGCTGAAGGTCTGGTGTACTCGTGTAGCAGAGACAGTAAGGCTTGCTTTCTCTATCTCTATTCACTGTGAAGGTGTGCCCTGGGTCACAGTGTAGCAGACTAATAGAGGATATTTTCCCCAGAGGCTCACCAGTGTGTCTAGGCCCATAGCACAGTGAGGTTTCCGTGGAGCCCTGAGGCTAGCAGGCATGTGGTTCTGATGTGGGGAGAACGTTCATCTTTCAGAAGAAGGGGTGAAGTTTCAGCCATTGAGGAAGTAGAAACAAGGGGCAGTTGGAGGGCCTGTGGCCACCTGGCATGGAAGGTATGTTGGTCATGTGAGGGTTTGTGATGGGACTGGTGGGAGGTGGGAAGGAACACAGAATTCCTATTGAGCCTGGGAGCACCCCATTTTCATGGCTTGTTATCCTCACTGCACGTGATCTCCCATGTCAGGTGAAGGGGGCATTATATCACTGCATTCTGACCCCAAAGCCATGAGAAGAATTGGGGAGACCAAATGTGACGCCTGGGGAGACTAGTTCAGTCTGGCCACCCGTGAGTTGGCAGCCTGGGACAGTCCTCTGTGAGGTACAAGCAGGCTTTCGTGGTTGTGTGGGTAATGATGACCAGGTGTTGGCAGGAGCCCAGGCAAAGGGTTTCAGTGGGATCTGAGTTAGTCTCACTGCTCACAGAGCAGTTTAGGACAGTTTCAGTGAAGCTCCGCTTGCTGAGAGGCCTGGGCCCTCTGTCAGATGGGAATTTTGTGCTCGTGTCCCCTCAGGAGCGGATCCGTCTAGCCCGGCAGATTGAAAAGGCTGAGTACCGGAACTTCCAGGCTTGTCTGCACAACTCCTGGATTGAGCAGGCGGCGGCAGCCCTCGAGATCGAGCTGGAAGAAGACATGTACAAAGGTGCGCCCAGACTGGGTGGGGATGGGAGGCTGCCTCCAGCACTGGATTTCTCTTAACTTGCACGTGGTTGGAACCATCGTCACTTCTGTGACCCATGAGAAACAGCAGTGTGCCCTTTTCTTGTCTCATGCCTACTCATCCCGTGCGGGCCTGCCCTCAACCTTTCCTGTGTGTCTGATTCTGTCTCATATGGACAGCCCCTGGAGTCTCCGACCAGGAGCAGACACAAGCAGGATGTCCTTGTTCATGCAGCCTGATCTCTTACTGTGTTGTTAGCCTCTTTGTATGCCTCTTTCTTCTTCTATAAGACAGGTCTCCTAGCTTAAGATTGAGTAAAGGGGGCAAACTGGGTACAGGTGTGCTCAAAAAACAGGTCCAGGAAACTGTTAAGTCATTATTTATCGTTGTAGTTAGTACTGCACCTGCCTTCCAAGGCAGCCAAGCACCTCCATATCTCCCTTAACACCCAGCCTCTTGGCGTGAATCAAGTGGGAAGCAGGGGAAGGCTTCCAAAGAGAAGGAATCTGTACATTAGAACAGCTCTGTCACCAGGCATCACCTAAGCCCTCTTCTGTCTTTGGGCCAGAAGCCGAGAACTACATCTGGGGCTCATGACAGCGGTTGTGCTCCTTCCACACAGCAGCTCAGCTGAGCTGTTGGCTTCTCTGCCCAGCATCAAGTTGAGAGGCAGACTGCTGCTCAGTGTGGGGAGCCAGGAGTTTGCCAACAGTGCGTTCCTCCTTGAGGCTCTGGCCTAGGGCTCAAACAGAGCTGTGAGTCCCTGGCTTTCCTTCTTGACACCAGGCTTTCTTGGGTGGGGACTTGGGCTTTGTCCACCTCAGTGTGCAGTTACAGCATTGGTTGGGGAGGTACTGAAGAATCAGGCTGCAGAGAAGTGTTTACTCTCTTCTGAGGAGTGTGTGGTTGCCATACTTGAGGTGGTAGTGTGTAGCTGCAGTGGTAGAGCAGCAGACTTCAGTCAGATGTGAGCTCCAATCTCTGACGGTTTGCTTTGCACCAGTGATGTGACTCCTAAGCCCGAGTTGCTTTCTGTCTTTACTGGCCCTGAACAGTGATGCACGGTGGCCCATCGCATCCCTCCTAAACAGAAGTTCCGCTTCTGGTTCTCGACTTAAAGCACCACAGCTTATGTTAGTCTAAAGAAAGTGTTTCTGCATAAACATGATGTTACATTTGTGTGTCTCAAGGAGGAAAAGCCGACCAGCAGGAAGAGCGTCGGCGACAGAAGCAGATGAAGATCCTGAAGCAGGAGCTACGCCATCTGCTCTCCCAGCCACTCTTCCAGGAGAACCTGAAGACCAGGTACCCCACACAGTCTGGCAGGCTGCCTCAGCTTGTGGTGGCCCCCAGGAATGGCGAGTCTGCGCTGAGCTGCCTCTCTAGACAGAAGAGGAGGAGGAGGAAGCCAAAAGAGCATCGGGCACCGCCAGAGCCAAGTTCGAGCACAAGCTAACTGCCCCCAGCATGGTGACCGCTTAGTGGTACCTCTCCTCTAGCTGTCTGTGAAAGCCTTCCTAGCCTGCGCTTCACTCCGCCATCCACCCGGGAAAATGTCTCACTCTTCCATCTTTTAGCCAAAAAGATCTTGTGCACACGTGTGTTGTGGAGTAAGTGTAGTAGCCAGCAGCTGTGTCTCTGCATCCAGTTTATGCAGGCTTTTTTTTGTGTACACCTTGGTTTCCCAATTAAAAAAAAAACAAGTGGGAGCAGAGAATCGCCCTGAGGGTGCTGCAGTGTTTTATCATTAACTCTGAGATTCTCTTGGGCCAGCCCAGCACTGTCCCTTCGGAGGGGAAATGGTGTCACTGTATCACAAACTGCCAGGTCTTCAGCCTATGTCTCTGTTCTTTTCCATAGTAGTTTAATACCAGCTCCTTTTCTGTGTCTACTCTCTGCTGTCTTATCTAAGCCACCCTGGAAGGTGGACAGGGAAGAACTTGCTGTCCTTGGACCGCCCTCAGCTCATAAGGGTATCAGTCACTAATCTGTAGGGTCAAGAGAGACCACGGGATCTGGCCCAAGCTCCTGGTCACGATTCCATGGATTGTCTTTGTCTTAGACTTTTTGTAAAACAGACGACTCGGCCTGAATTGTCATGTGTCATTCCTGGTGTATTATGTGTTCTTTATGAGGAACTCAGTGCTCTGGGCTGCTTGCCTCACAGTGCTGGCCATAGTTGAGCTGGCATCATGGCCTAGTGTAAATACACTGTAGAACAGTGACGCCTGCTGCCCAGCCCCTGGTCAGTCTGGCTGACCTGTTAGAAGCACAGCACAGCCTGGACGTTGAGACAGATGTTCACAGGCATGGTTCAGATGTTTGGCTTGAGGAGTCTGGATTTTAGTACACAGGCATGCCTAAATATCCTAATATGTAAGAAACACGTCTCCTTTATCTCGTAGCAAGGTTGAGAGGTAGCCATGGGGACTCCCTTTTAGCCTTGAGCCTAAACTCAGATTCTGATGTCACTGTTGACTGATTGCCTGGCATTAAGATACCTTTTAACCCCTGAACATTTAATAGAGAGAGATTGAGCCCAGGGCCTCATGTGCTATGCAAGTACTGGATTATCTGAACCATAGATATTTATATACGATGGGGGCTGCTCACCCATGAGATAATTGGTTCTGGGGATCTTGCTCAGGTTGTTAGGCTTGGATGGTGAGTGCTTGTATCCATTGAGCCTTCTGCTGACTACTTCTTAGTTTGGATCGTCTCATTGTCTAGGCAAGCCATGAACTGGGAACCCGCTTGCCCCAGCATCTTCACAAGCAAGGATTATAGGACTGTACTAGTCATAGCTATTAGATACTTATTGATTTAAATTCTCATTTGGTAGTCTGAGATCATGGCGTATCTTAATACCCTTTTTTTCTGTAGTTGAGAAAGTGAACCTTTAGTGGTTAAGATTTAGCTATCCACCCAACAACTGGATGAGATGTTGGTAACCTGGGTCATCTTCTGTCTGAGTGAGTTCTACTGTTCTGATGTTAGAGACACAGCAACACCTCCAGGTAGGTGCCCTTCCCGTAACCCCACTGTCTACTGACCTGGCTGGGGGGACAAAGCAAACATCAAGAGATGGCCTAGGAGCCTCCACTTTCCAAATGATGTGGTGAGATGTCTGTGGAGTTGATAAGCAGGCTTGGGCCCCACTCGCACACCCTTGATAAGATAGGGCCAGTGTTCCAAGCCCATCTGTGTCCACATCCCTCCAGTGTGGTCTACTCACCAGTGGCCTGTGGGAAGATGGTGGTGTTCATTATGTAACTAGTATCTAACATTAAGAAGCCAGTCTGAAAGATAGAAATTGTTTTAATGCTACGAATGAAGTTTTCATCTAAAGGAAGCTGAAGGGCTTGGCCTTGGGCACTCCCTGAACCCCAAGCTCCGCTGTCCCAGGTTAGCTGTATACTCGGCTCAGACCTGTTGCACTGCTCCCCTATGGCTCATACTTTGGGAAGCCACTCACTTCTGAGGCATGCTTCTCTGCTTCCAGAGCTCAGCGGTGAAATGGCTCGGGCAAGGTCGCACAGTTGAGAATTGCACTTAGGCAGCTGAGCCTAGCAGTTTCTCCTATTGTAGGAAGACAGCCAGAGCAGGCACACTGCTCTGTTATTGCCTCTACTAGTTGTTGCCTCTGGGAAAGTGAGGGACGCACAAGCATTTGCAAAGATGACCTCTTACAGTGCCTGTGCTTCCAGTGTTTTGTCTAGAAAGAGGTGGCCGTAGGGGTGCAGGAGTCATTCAGAAAGTAGGTATGCTGGCATGACCTGTTGCTGTAGCCTAGTTAGGAACTGCTGTGGGCAACCAGGTTTTAGCATGTTCTCTAGTCTCCCCATTGCCCTGTTCTTAGACTCATCTGAACTCGCTGGAGCAGTCCAGGCAGGCATCCTGTGTTCAGACCATTCAGCTGGGAAGTGAAGAATAGTCTGGCTGAAGAAAGACACGGAAATGGGCCCCTGCTCTTCTGGGGTACTTGTCATAGACCCCAACGCTCATACCCAGATCAGGGCAGGACACTTAACAAATCAAAAGGCGAAGGCCAGATTTACACTCCTGTGCCAGTGACAGACTCACTTAGCTGGAGCCCTTGGATCTAAATGTTGGCCTTGGTTCCCACACTGCCCAGACACCTGGGTCCTTTTGACTTACACCAAGCAAAAGATAGATCCAAGATTTGTGTAAGACTCAGGATCCTTCTGGTCTTGTGTGCAGACTGTTGCAGACCCTCACCAGCAGCCTCAATCCCTGCAGAATGAAACATGGGGGGGGGGGGGAGCTTTGCACCCAAGGAAGGGTACCAGTGGGTGGTTCCATGGCTGTCCTACAGAAGGCATGGCTAGCTAGTGCCTCAGCCCAGCTGGAGGCTGACTTTCCCACAGTGTCCTCAGGGGCACTGCTGAAGGTCTTGAGGCAGCAAATGAGTAAAGGGGGCTATTAAGGGGCACATGCAGAGGAAGAGGCTGCTGCCAGCACCGGAAACGCCCTTGCCACCAATGGCTTGTCTGTTGTTTCCTGCCTCGCTGCCTCCAGAGCCAGGCCAGGGAAACTGAGGAGCCTTGCGCTGCCGTTGTTTCCATGGCCACACCCTACCCAGCTGACTTACCTAGGCGCTTCTAGAATTTACTGGGGATGATGGGCAGCTGCAGCTCCCCGGGCCCAGACATGAACACACTGACTCGGGTACAGGCCTTTATCTTTGTCAAGCCTTATCCAGGTGGCATTGAAGGTAGAACCCTGAAGGGCCTGTCCCCCAAAGTCAGGAGTTCTGGTCCTGAGGTAGAAGGACCTCACAATCTGAGCTTCATGCTGAAGGCTAAAGTCCTTTTCTGGACTTTGGTATAAAAAGGTCTCTCTCTCCTCTCTCTCTCTCTCTCCCTCTCTCTCTCTCCCTCTTTCTGTCTCTCATGCATGGGAAAACAAGCCACCATGAATGAACTACACATTCAGACAGTTGTCTACCATTACCCACCCAACACAGGTTCATAGGTCCGGTAAGTCACCTGAATGTGGCAGCCAAACTGAGCTTTTCTTCCCTATGAGGGCCACTGCCCCTGGTGAGGACTAACCATATATCCCCATTTTCACACACCATCACATCAACACTGCCAGGAACCTCTTTCCGATAAATAAATAGGTCCAACGAGGTTCTTACAGTAAACGGATACATAGACAGGGTTCCTGGCTTTCCGGTCCAGAGTTAGCAGGCATTACATTATCTATCAAAATAAATACTAAAATTCCTATTAAGTCATGACAGTCCATAGTGGGCACAAGTCTCAGTTCAGTGGCTTTACCCAAAAGGCTGTACATTTCCTAGTTGTCTAAATCAATTAAAAAATCGCCAAGTCAGAAGGTTCCATTTAGAATGCAGTCCATTAGATGACAGGCTCCGGCATGGCCTAAAATCAGTGTTTTTCAGCTGCATACAGAATGTTGTAGTGGGATGTTTTATAGAGCAGATAAACGGAAGGTATGGCAGCCTCGGGGAACACGTGGTGGTTCAGAGCGGTGTCCATCTCGTCCACATACTCCACCTGCAGAGCGATGTTCAGTGCCTGCGACAGAGCTGTGATCTGGACGTGGTCACACTCCATGGCCATGGGCTCCACTTCCTGCATGGCCAAAATTAGACAGTTAGGGAGGCGGGCGGGGGGGGGGGGTGAGTGCAGCCCTGGCTTTCAGGATCATGGCCACCTGTGCTGCAGGGCGGGGCGGGTGCTCTTCTCAAGCACAGGAGGGCACAGGTGCTGACACCCGCCTGTCACGGAAGCAACACAGCCATAGGACACTGGGCTTGCAGAAAAGGAACCAGAACCATTTTTATTTCAGACCCTTAAGGATTGTGCAAAAGTGGAGGAATCTTTCAGGCTAGCATCGAAACTTAGAACTAAAAGGACCTTGCCACCAAAGGCTTCTAAGTACAAGCACTTGCAGAGGCCAGAACCTGTGGGTGAGTCCTGATGCTACAGAGACAATAGAGAGGCAGAGATGGTGCCAGGCACCCCAAAGAGGGCTGCTGCTCTTGTGCCTATAGGTAGTCGCCATCTAACTTAGAGCCCAGTACCTCCTAATTAAAAAATTCCAGAGGGCCTTAATGAAAATTGCCCACGGTTTACATATAAATACATCTTCAGATAAATGCATCCAAATGAAAGCCCGTCTTTGGGCTAATGTGGCAGGAGCTGCAACCCTGCAGTTTATCAGCAGAGCCGTCCCAAGTCCTAAGATTCCCTGGGACTGCAAGTGGCTTGCTCAAGTGGCTCAGGCCACTCACAACAAGGTCTCCATGTACTAACTTCACTAGTTGGCATCACAAGGACGTTCCTCTGGGCAGAAATAGTGGTCCTGGGATGTGTGAGACAGGCAGACAAAGCCCAGGCTAGGGTTACGTCCCCGAGGAGAATGCTAGGGACCTACGTGAGTGCAGAAGTCTTTGATGTCCATCTCCTCGTCTATGAAATGCCGGAAGAAGTCAGCTCGGTTCCTGATGAAGGCTGATGTGAGCAGGCGCAGGAACTGCACGATCTGGTCCGAGGAGCTCTGGTCGTTGAACACCTTCAGCAGGCTGGACACTGAGCTGTCCTTCTCTACCAGCTCGACCACACTGTAAAACTTCACGCTGCCACCATCAGAGTAGACCCTAGCAGGCACCTGCCCCCCACACCCTATGGGCCCCCCTCAGAGATTGCAAGTGAGACTGCAAAAGTTAAAGCCAGAGTCATATCTAGGGGTCTGTCATGAGTCTCCTTCCACCATCCTTTCAGAATGGCAGGAGGCTGGCCATCCTCCAAACCGAGGTCCCCTGGACCCACATATCCCCACAGACAGTACATGACTGCCCTGCCCCTGGCCCAGGTGGGAGGACTAAAAAAAGCTGCACAGCTGTGGGTGGGCCGAAGCCCTCCAGCCTGCCTGCTCTGCCCATGTGGGAGGCCTTGGTCCCCAGCCAGTATGGCTCAGGTGAACTCACGGCATTAAAGGGGTTTCTGAACTTGTGTTCCTCAAAGCCGGCAGCCAGGAGGTCATTTGGAGTCTGTAGCACACGCTCTTTAAACCTAGAGGGGAGGAGACCTGAGGTTTACCTGATGGTCATGGGAACACAGGCTGTTGCTGTGATGGGGAACTGCCCAGTCCACACCAGCCTCACAGAGGTGCCGTGCGTTGTTTCCAAAGAGCTCCTCATAGCCATGCTGGCCCGCTGCCTTCCCTGCTGAGGCTGACTCCGGTTCTCAGATGAAGAAATTGAGGCAATCACAGCATACTCCCCAGATACGGCAATTCCCTTTCAAAGGCTCCCTATCCCTGTGGTCCCTGTGACGACTCTTCGTCCGCCTGGTCCTGTCCAGATCTTTCCCTTCTCTCCCCCTCCCTTAAGCTAATGAACTGTCCGAGAACTAGCACCCCGTACTAAGCCCCAAATGGTGTAAAGATACAAGGAAATAAAGCATTCTAAAAACCTAGAGTGGGGCTGGGGAGATGGCTAAGAGTTAGGAACACGTTTTTTTTGTTTGTTTGTTTTTTGTTTTTGTTTTTCGAGACAGGGTTTCTCTAGCTTTGGTGCCTGTCCCAGAACTAGCTCTTGTAGACCAGGCTGGCCTCGAACTCCCAGAGATCTGCCTGCCTCTGCCTCCCGATTAAAGGTGCTGGGATTAAAGGTGTGCGCCACCACCGCCCGGCTTAGGATCACACTCTTGCGGACATCCTGGTTTGAGTGCCAGTACAAGTTCATAACCAAAACTCCAGTTCCACGTCCTCTGACCTTTTCTGGCACCAAAGACACATGTGGGACACACACACACGTGCAGGCAAAACACACACATGATAAGATGAATAAATCTAATTTTGTTTTTTGTTTTTCGAGACAGGGTTTCTCTGTGGTTTTGGAGCCTGTCCTGGAACTAGCTCTTGTAGACCAGGCTGATCTCGAACTCACAGAGATCCGCCTGCCTCTGCCTCCCGAGTGCTGGGATTAAAGGCGTGCACCACCACTGCCCGGCTCGAATAAATCTAATTTTAAAAATCAAAGGACACTCAACACTCAGTTTCCTCTTCAGTCCTCACTGTGCTTCTAGGTGGCTGGGGACTGTTGCATAAGGGAGGTGAGAACTCCGTGGACCCCAGCATGCACTTCCCTCCCTCAGACCTCTGCTCTGGCTACTCACATGGGGTGGATCAAACCAGTCCTAACACCAGCGTGCTCCCAATCAGGTCAGGCCACACTGCCCCTAACCCCAGCCCCATGGCTTCTGTTCCCACACTGATGCACAGGGTCACAGTGAGGAGTCTGTCCTCGCTACTGCTCTTCATTACCCTCTGGAGCAGCCTGGCACTGGGCTGTACTTGCTATCGGGATATAGGGCCAGCAAGACGGCTAGGTAAACGTGGCTGCCCAGCAGTGGAGTGAAGTAAAGAGAAGGCCATGTGCCTTCACTGTCACACACAAGAACGTGACCAAGGCCAAGGGCCAAGCTTCCTCCTTTTTTCTCTTCTTCCTTCTCGGACAAGTTTCCTTTATTCTTTCTCTTCTTTCCTCCTTCCTCTTCCTCCTCCTCTTGTTGGTATTTGAAACAGGATCTTACTGTGTGCCTCCACATGTTTTTCTTTTTTCCCCTCCCTCCCTCCCTCCCTCCCTCCCTCCCTCCCTCCCTCCCTCCCTCCCTCCCTCCCTCCCTCTCTCCCTCCCTCCCTCCCTCTCTTTCTTCCTTCCTTCCTTCAACAAATATCAAGTGCCCACCAGCATTGTTGAGCCATGCCTTCAGGCAGTGCTGAGCGAATTACCAGACAAGTTATACTCAGCCTCCAGGCTGCCATCAACACCAGCACAGGCATTTCCCAGCACCCCCTGCTACAGCCTGGTGAGATGCAGCACAGAGAAGCGGAGGAGTGTACAGGTTTCACTCACTTGAGGATCTCTCTGCCCTTGCCCAGCAAAGACTCCAGGTAGGAATAGCCCAAGGCCCTGTAGAAGCAGTTCCCGTCTCCTTTGGTCTTTCGGATTGAGGTAAATCTTTTGCTGAGTTCCTAAGGGGAGAAGAGGACACACGAACCTCAGCAGCAGCAATGGCATTGGCGTGGGTCAGCCACTGGCCTGGCCCTCGCTCCCTCCGTTCAGGGCCCCCCACCCTCATCCATCCCACAGATTCACAAATACACTGACTAGGATGTGAGTCCCTAAGGATGTCAGTCAGCTCCTGGCACTAGGCAGCCTTCATCAGGGAAAGTGACAGAGTTAGGTGGTGGTGACAGATGATGAGGACAAGAGCTGGGGTGCCCTGGGTTCGAGACATCCACGCCAGACTTCCAATAGTCAGGAAAGGCTGCCTAGAGGAAGCTGGCAGCTGAATATGGTGTGTGGCAGGGGGCTGGGAACACTACAAGGCCTCAGCAGTCCTGTAAATGTCTCTCAGCCATGTCCGGAGTGGCACACCACCCATTCCTTTGGCCTACTCCCAGCATGTCTCTGAAATGGCCTAGAGCCCCCTCTCTGTCTTGTGGGACAGTAGTCGGGGTTTTGCAACTGCTGCCTGGTTTAAAGGGACTGGGAAGCCCCAGCAACTAGAAGGCATAGGGCTTATCTGAAGCATTTGAAGCAGGCTGATCAGGGCCAGTGTCCCTCTTCTCAGTCTCTGGGAGGCTAAGGGAACACAGAGCAGACTGTCCTCAACCCTGAGTCCTGCTGGAAGTGCTTCCTGTGGTCATATGCAGACCTCAGGACACCAGTGTCACCCTGAGCTGCTGACTGCTTCCTGCCCCAGGAGTCTCTCCAAGTAAGAGAAGCCCCCAGCACCGTGCTGTATCTGCAAGGTCCATAGAAGGAGTCCGGAAGACTGCATAGCAATGTTGTCAAAGACCAAGCCCATCTGCCATGTGCACCACGGAGTGGGGGCCTCGCTCTCCATCCTCTCTGGTTCTGGAGTGACCCTGCAGCCTCCCTGAGATGTCACTATCCTGAGAGGTCCCCTAGTAGAGCAGTGATGAGATCAGCCCTGCTGGGCAGTTCAGGAGCTATGTGGCCACACCTCAGTCTCCTTAGTTGTCAGGTGGGGATAACATGCTTGCCACACAGAATCATAAAAAAGTCTCACGCAAGTAAACCCAGCACTTAGAGCAAGCACTTAGCTTTAAAACGTATGATTTTCCCACAAGAAAAGGATCTCTCTCTGAGGTAAATACTCAATGTCAGAATGGTCTAAGAGCATTTCAGGTTGCCCAGGAACTTGGCCCAAACTCCGTGCCTTCCAAAAGCTGTCCCCTTCTTTACTGGCGATCTCCACCCTCTTTGTTTAGGCTCTTGGTCTCTCCACGCTCTGCCTCACCTGGATTTTCCTCTGGTAAATCCTGTTTTCAGGATGATCCCGAAGAATGGATAGAATGTCACATTTCTCTGATATTAGGTTGAAAGATGTTTCACTCTGAAAGAGAAAGAACCATTTCTAAGCTGGCTTCAAAGACACCCAAGGGGCTCTTGGAACTGCCGTTCTCTGAATGACCAGTTACACAACCCAGAACATGCCCCCTCTCCTTGGAAGGAATGTGTGATCATGTGACCAGCATCCTAGGGACCTGCCTGGATTTGTCCTGGTCCCAGGGCAAGAACAATCAGGACTGGCACCATCATGAAGTATCCTGGCTATAAAGAACTGACCTCATAATTTGCTAACATTCATTTCATAACATTTAATATCTCAGATTTAATAAACCTATGCTGGAGTATGTTCCCACCTCATTCATTCATTCATTCATTCATTCACTTATTCATTCTTTTACTCCCATTTCCTTCCCCCCACTTCCTGAACTTGCATCCTGTGTCAGCTTGGTTTCACATGCTGCCAACAAAGGGCTATTCCCATCCCTACACAAAAGCCAGTAATATCACGGGGTCAAAGTTCGCTTGAGGTGACCCCATGCAGCAGTGCAGGGTGTGTGCTAGGGAATGGCTAATGACCCGAGTTCACACAAGGGCAGGGGCAAGCGGGACATCTTCCCATACTGCCTACTAGTGCTGCCCAGCTCGGAGCCAAGGCCAGAACCAAACCTGAGCATGTACCCATGGGGAGCCAGGGTCTCTTAGCCCTGGAAGGACTCGGCAAGCAGGGTGGAGACAGGGCAGAGGATGCCATGAATCTAGGGGCAGCAGTCCCGTCCCCACCTGTGCTTTGTCACTAGGGCTGGGGTGAGAGTGCTCAGGGGTTGGGGCTCAGCCTACACTCTGGCCACCAGCCACCCAGGAATGGTATTCTCGACAGAGTGGAATAAAAGGTGCTTGGGCTGGAGAGATGGCTCAGACTGCTGACCACTAGAGACTGAACCCAGGAGCCCACATGGCAGAAGGATAGCACCAATGCTCAAAAGTTGTCCTCGGACTTCTGCCAGTGGTGTATACTTATACCAATGCATGTACACTCGCGTTTGTGTGTGCGCACACACATTAGAATTGTTCTTTAAAGTTTTGTTTGACCCACATAAAGAGTTTCCAGCTTAAAATAAGGGTTCTATGGCTGAGGCTGTGTCTCGGTAGATAAAACACTGGCCTTGTAAGTAGGAGGACCAGAGTTCAGATCCCCAGAATACATACAAGCTAAATGAACAACTGGCCTCTAATCCTGGATCTCAGGAGGTTGGTACAGGGGATCCTTGGGACAAGCTGACTAGCTAGATGACCCAAACTTGCATATTCTAGGCCCATAAAAAAAAGTCTGCTGGGGCTTTTGGGAAAGGTCTGGTTTGGGATAAAAAGAGCAGAGACGCTGATGCAATGTCTAAGCAGTCATCCTGTAGACCAGAGGTTGAAAGCCAACATAAGGAGGATGGTTTGAGGATCTACTGCTACCCTCATCCCTAAAAATGTGGGAAATGGTGACAGGTGCCATTCCTGGGCACTGGAACAGAAGCTTGTATGTCCCCATTATCTCAATTATCACAACACTCTTGCAAGGTGGCCATTATTATACCCGTGACACTGTCAAGGTCAGGTGGTTTGAGTTGGAGATGATTAATTCAGGTCTGTGTGAAGTTCAAACACACCAAAATGCTAGGCTGGCACAGCCCGGACTCCAGAGCTCAAAGGACTCATCTGCCAGACCACAAAGAAATGTCCTGTCCAGGGCAGTGTTGGGTCGTCTTACCCAGAGGCTGGGTCCAACCTTTCACTTCTGCAGGCCCCAGAGACACTGTCCTCCCGAAGTTGCTGATGGGAGTTCAGCATCTCCAAGAGCCTTTCCAGTCTGTAATCTCACTGCAGGGTAGTGAGGAACAGTTCCTAAGTGACACTAGGCACAGCTACTAAAAGGTAACAGCAGGCTGAGGGTGTAGCTCAACAGTGGAGCACTTGCCTGGCACAGATGCAAGCAAGGTCCTGCGTTCATCCCTAGCTCTGCAAAACAAAAAGTTAAACAAGAAAGCAAATCCTACCACCACAGGGGTGAGTCAGCCTCTCCTTCGAGCCATCTACCTGTGCCCAAAGATGCCAGCTTCTTCCTCATGTTCCTCCTTTCCTGTTCCTGGTCTCCCTTTCAAAGACCTAGAGACGTCTGGTTTGCAGCTTCCAAGGGCTCCATTTCATTCACAAGTTTTCAAAACCTTAGGTGGAGCTAACTTTGTTGACTTCGTGGGAATATAACCATAACTTAGATATACATAATTCTCAATCATCTTCTAAATCACGGAAGAACGGCATCATTTGTGTAACACACAATTGCCGGTGTGCAGTTAATTCCGCTCACCCTGTGCTGAAGAGGCAAATCTCCATGGGGAGGTATCAGTCTGAATGGCCCTCTTCACACCTTGTATACATGGCAAGGTGACCCACAGGCTGCTGGCAAGTGGCCACATGTTCCACTCAACCAAACTCCTTCTTGCTCCTTTGCTAACTTATTCCTATCTTGCTAATTGCTCCATGACTGTTTATAAAAGTAGTTTTATGTCAGATGGCTGACTTAAAATGGTGCATGGGGCTTTCTGGACGACCACAGAGCAGAGTGCCCCGACTGTATTTAATGAACTTGCAGTCAAATCTGGCCCAGACAAAAGTCAGAAGTGAATAACTGCATCAGGGGTCTAGGGACCACAGAAGGATGCCCAGTCAGCCATGTTTACTAGGCAGCTTCTGAGAAGGCCTCCGTGGAGGAGAGGAAAAGGGACTCCGTTCATCCTCTCGAAGAGGAATCCTGAGGGGAAGAGGCAGGACACCCGGGAAGGCTTTCCAGGGCCTGGATTTGCCTGGTGTATTAGGTAAACTCACTGCCATTGGCAAATTCACACCAGCTCTTTGCAGTAGTCACAGTAATAACTAGACACCGAGAAGGGTCTAGTTGTGCACTGTTGAGCTGCGCCCTTGTCAGCCTCAGCCTCAGTGGGAGGAATTTTTCCCCAAGTTTATCTCATGTGTCCCTAATCTCTGTTGTGTCCCCCAACCCCGTCCCTCACTCATTCCCCAACCCTCTAAGGTCTACTTGCTATGTATGTGAAATGTATGTGTCTTTAAAGAGTATGGTGGCAAAATGTACATAACATGAAACATACCATTTTAGCCATTTTCATATACACAGTTCTACGGCCTTAAGTATTCCCCATCTCCCCATCATGCCTCTACTTCCTATCTTTACGAATCAGACTACAGATGATGTATATTTCTATTTTTAAAAAATAGATTTAAAATATATATTTACACATATACTACAGATATTATGGTTTTTTTTTAAACTTTACTCAATACTATTTAAAAACTAGTCATGGCTGGGTATGGTGGCACCTGCCTGTAATCCTAGTATCCAGGAGGCTGAGGCAGGGGGATGGTGAAATTAAGGCTAGCATAGGGTACACTGTGAGACTGTCTCGGGAAGGAGGGAGAGAAGAGAGGGAGGGAGGGAGGGAAGAAGGAAGGAAGGAAGGAAGGAAGGAAGGAAGGAAGGAAGGAAGGAAGGAAGGAAAGAAGGAAGATGGGCCTTGGGTTGGTTTCTAGTACTCCCAAGTGTATACATGGGCACCCTAGGGACAAGCAGGTTCCCACCATGGGACTTTAAGTCCCGAAAACACCTTCAGAATGACCCAAGTCTCCACCCAAACCCACCAGCATTCCTGGGTGAGCCAAGCCTCAGCTCTGTGAAAATTTTAAGGGCAGTATCATTTGACTAGTCCAGGAATCTGGAGCAATGCTCGGATTTTGACCTTGGCTGACATTAACGTGTTTGCTTTTAAACAAATTGAAGAATCCCAGGTTGTTATGGAGAAAAGGGAAACAGAGAGGACACACCCGACTGTCCTGTCAGACCTAAGCAGGCTACAGGAAAGACACTGACTCTTTAATTGCTGGTTTGCAGATAGATGCCAATTAATTAAGCTGCCCAGGCAGCGCCCACGCTTGCCAACAGTTTCAGCAGGAGAGGTGAGGCGCGTCTCACTGACCGGCTCAACATCAGGCTTCAGCTCGCTCTTCTGCCTACAGATGGCATCTGCCCCCAGCCATCCTGTCAGCGCATCTGAGCATGCCCACATCCCAGGCCCAGCAGCGCTCACCCAACCTAGCAGGCAGCCGCCCTCCCCTGGACATCTTTAAGGACTGACTCACCAACCAGGCCCCCAAGCCATCACTTAACACACAGCCTGACCTCAAAACACCCAGAAGAGCAGGAAACTCCAGCCTCACCTGCCAGCAGCAGGTTCAGAGCCTCAACCTCTCTGGAAGGCTCAAGTCTTTGCCAGAAGTCACCCGGGCTTGCGCCCTGGGCCCTACCTGCTGGCCTAGAGTCCTCAGGGCACTGGAAGAAATGTGCCTTTAAATGCCTGCGTGGGGGGCTGGGAAGGTGACTCAGTAGGTAACGAATGAACTTAAGGCTTCAGCATAAGTTCTGTGACCCAGCACCCATGCAAAAAGTCACGCACCTGTGACCTCAGCAACAGAAAGGGTATTCAGATCTCTGGAGTTTGCTGACTGGCCAATAAGTCAGTGAGCTCCAGGTTCAGTAAAGAGACCCTGTCTCAAAAACTAGAGGGGTTGGGGAGAGGGCTTAGGGATCAAAGCACTTGATACACAAGGCTGAGGGGTGGAGTTCCGATCCCCAGAGCCCACTTCAAATCTGGGCAGCGTGGGCAGCGTGGCAGCTACCTATAATCTCAGCACACAGGAAGCAGAAACAGAGTCCCTGGAGCAAGCTGACTCCAGGGTTAGCAAGAGACCTTCCCTAAATGAACAGTGATTGAGGAAACCACCAGTGTCAAGTTCCAGCATTCGCAGGCATGAACACACACATGCATGCCGATCCATGTACACATGTGCCCATATACTTGGGAAGCAGGTACTGCCTACACATACACATGTTAAAAAAGTAAAAAGAAAGCATTATAGGAGGGCATCTGATATTAATCTCTGGCCTCCACACACATGAACACAGGTTGGTTCAATCTGCCATCCTGAACACATACATAGGCATACATTACACACATATACCCAAAAAAGTCTCTCACTCTTTCTATAGATGAATATATATATATGAACACACACATCTATATATACACACCCATATACATACACACACATATATATACATATACACACATGTGCATACACACATATTCCAAAAAGTCTCTCTATATATAGATGAATAAATATATATGAACACACACATCTATATATACACACCCATATACATACACACACATATATATACATATACACACATGTGCATACACACATATTCCAAAAAGTCTCTCTATATATAGATGAATAAATATATATGAACACACACATCCATATACACACACACATGTATATATATATACACACACACACATATATTTTACACCTGTGGAGTGTCCAGAAGCCCATTATTGATGGGGAGAGTTAAGCCAACGATCACTGAAGCCCCGGACTCATTCCTGCTCCAGCATCTGAGGACAACCGTGGTGTTATAGAATATGATTGCTTTACTTTCTTTGCAGGTGGCAATGAGTAGCCCCGCCTCCTCCGCCTAAAGCTGAGCTGTGAACAGGCCATGCCTCCTGGGGCTTCTGGACTCTGCTGCTCCGCAGGCTGCCTTCCTCGGCTCCTAAAGGACAGGGGTCCGTGGGTGGGGGCGCTATCTGAGTCTGATCCTTGGGATCCCTGTGGTGGAAGGAGAGAACTGACTCTCTGACCTCCTCACATTCTGTGGCATGTCTGTACCCTCCACACACACACATGTGAACGACTGTCTGGCTTCCATGATGAATGACAGACGCCTCTCTCACCTTCCCATGGCTCCCTTACTGAGGCCTGCACCCCTCCCTCTTGTCAGGACCCTGCTGGTGACCTCACTGCACCTCACTTGACAACTAAGGGCGATGCCTCACTTCAGCCCCTTGAGTCACGCTTGGGAGCTTCTCGTGCCATGGGAATACAGAAACAGGTGCTAGGAAACAGGATACACTAACCTTTGGTGACAATTTCTCGGCTTTACTACATGGCCCTTCTCTGTGGGGCCCCAACCCCTTATCTCAGTTGCTAGCCATTTCCAGTGCTCCTGAAGCCAGGCCCTGCCTCCCTCAGATAACATGAACTTATGTAACATCTTTCGGTGGCCACCCACCTGATCTCAGCTCCTGCCTCACCTCTCCCTAGGACTCTAGCCTCAAACAGCTGGCAACTGCTCAGACATCTAAGCAGTTCTTCTAATTTATTTACCCCGTAATTACTCCATAGCCTTATCTGTCCCCCTGGGCTTTCTCTAGCCCCTAGGATACCCCTTCAATCAGAGATAGTCTACCCCCAAATCCAGGAGCCCTCCTCCACTGTCTCACCCTGCTCCACCGGTTCCTGAGTCTGGCCTGAGAGCCTATGTCCCACAAGGAGGATGCAATACACTCTACCCGGTGGCCACACTTCCACTCCTAACTGGCCCCACCTTCTCCACGAGCAGCCAGCACAGGTTGCTTAACAGGAAGGGCCTTTCCTCAATGTTCTCTGCTAGGCTTAGCTGTTCGTTCCCTCCACGCTGCTGAAGCTCAACTGCTGAGGTCATTGTATCAATGACATCAATGTTCTGCCTTCACGGATTGGACTCACACCACGATCATGGATTGTATCCAGTGTTGACTCGGTTTCTCTAGCCCCCTTCTGCCAAGCGCTGCCTTCCCTCATGGTAAGAAAGCAAGAGTCTCCTGGCCTGAGGCTGGCACCTCATCTTAGGACGTCCCAGCCTCTCAAGTTCTGAGCCCGATAAGAATTTTTGGTATATATCACCCAGAAATAACCCATTACAGCAGCATGACCAGACTAAGACACAGCCAGGAGCCAGGAGCAGCAGCTGCCGCAACAAATACCTGAAGACATGAAGGCTTCGGGACAGAGGAGTGGGTACGGCTGGGACACTTCCCAGGAGAATGCTGGAGAAGCCGTCGCAGCTGGGAACAGAGCGTGGAGGGCGGTTCTGGTGTGGGGAAGACAAGCTGGAGAGCAGAAGGGAAAGCGAGAGCCTTGGAAGACTTTGTGTGAGAACGCTGGCGGCAACTGGCACAGAAAAGACCGTGAGGATTTAGCCTCCGGTGCAGGTGAGGAATGAAGTCCTGGAGGCTGCTGGAAGGAGGGGCCATGTCCTCAAGTGGGAAAGAACTTGGCTGTGGGGTGTCCTTGCCCCAAGGCTGGATGGGAAAACAGAACTTAGGAACGATGAACTAGGAAGGACGTGGGGTGGCAGAACCTAAGGTGGCATCACCGGGACGGTGGTGCGGCTTCTTGTAACTTCGTCTTCTAGCGTGTTAGAGCAGAGAGATGATGTAGATGGAATGTATCTCACAGCCCAACTGTAAGAGTGACATGCCATCTGCATACCAAGGGTGTGACCCAGGGGCTGGCCACCCGCCGAAGAGATTAGAAATTACGACAAGAAGGGAACTAGGTGTCCCTCAAGGAGACGAGGTAGAAGACACCCCCAAACATAGAAGAGATCTTGGGGGCAGGCTAGGCCTAGAGGGCACATTTCCAGGAACTCTCTCCAGTGCCCCACGTCTCAGGACAGCACACCCCCTGTGTGACCAGCTGTGGCCGGGCACCGGGAGGGCTGCTATCCCAGTGGCCAAAGCTGTGGCCTTGGTAGACTCCACGTGGGTTGGCCCCGAGGCATGCAGAATGTCAGAGCTTGAGATGTGGTGCACAGTGTGGGGGCCCAGAGCATCCAGGCCGAGTCCCCACTAGGGTGATGCCCACGAAGGAGAAGGCCATGCGGATGGAATACTGCTATGGTAAGCTGACCCAGAGAATCCCAGGGACGGCAGTTCCGACAGCCACCCGAGTGGCATGGAGTCAGTACAGACGAGTCAAGATTATCCTGGAATCAGAGGCCCTAACTCGGTTTGTGGTTGCTAGACTCACATATGATGACTTACTCCTTATTTCTGGCCGACTTCCCACTCTGGGGATGGAAATGTCTATCTCAGGCCTGCCTGCCATGGCACTTGGGTGACAGGCCCTCAGCGCTGGCAGGGTCTATCAAGACACTGGCCTGGGTTTTGCGTCTGCTTGGCCCACCTGTCACAGCCCCTAGCCTCTGGACATTTGGGTTGGGCTGTAATAAGGTGAGACTCTGGGAACTATGGGAATAGAGCAAATGCATCCTATATGTGAGAAGAACGGGAGATGGGGCTGGGGCATGGTTGGAAATCTAAGGTTTGAGTGTCCCCTCTAAACCAAGTTGTAATTTAACTGCCAATGTGACAGTTTTTCAGAAGTCACTATGTCTGGGGACCCCCTGTCACGAAAGGGCTAATGCAGCCGTCACAGGGAGGAGTTTTCTCTAGTCCACTCTGCCCTCCTACCATGTTATGACACAGCAGGAAGATATGTGGGCCCCCATCAGAGGCCAGCACCTTGATGATGGCCTAACCAGCCACGTGCAGAAGGAGAAGCCAATAAATGTCTGGTCCTAATAAATCACCCAGGCTAGGACAGTGTCGGGGCAGTGTGAAACCTCTTCAAGCCCTCTGCTGGCTTGCTTGCTCAATCTCTGACAACCTCCCATCTGGGGCTACGGCCACAGTGGCTGGCCTGTCCCTCAAACAGGACACACACTTCTACCTCGGTGTCTTTGGATCTCTGTTCTTCTGCCTCTTTCCATGACTTGGGAGATGCCACCTCAGAAGAGAAGCCTCCCCCCACCATCCTATGGCTTTGTCTTACTAGTTCAGGATGTGACCTGACAGGTGGGTTCACTGGCTGACCTGGACCGTCTCCCTCCACCCAAATGCCAACTCATCTGTCACTGCTAGATCTCCACTTCCTGGAATGTTGAGATGTATTCTAAAACCGTATCCCAATGCTACGAGCTGGACTGCTGAGGCCCAGCTCCAGGCCTCAGAATGCAACTTTACTTTGGAACATGGTCGTCACTGATATAATTAGTTAACATGAGGTCACAACGGAGCAGGGTGGGTCACCAGGCCTATGACTGATTTCCTTATTATAAGAGGAGCATAAACACACGCACGGGCGAGAACCATCTGCAGGTGAGTTCCAATGTCACAAGTCAAGCTACCACTGGAAGCTTGGGGAAGCCAGGGATAGAACCTCCCCAAACACCGTCATGAGGAGTGTGCCCTTTCTGCACCTTCAGCCTCTGGACTCACCAGAAAAGAAGTCCCTATAGCTCTATCTCACTGGAGAACTTGGCTGCAGCAGCCCTGGTGAGCACGCTGAATGAGCAAGCCTGCCTCTCACTCCAGCTGGCCACCCACGACCCAGCATCAGAGAGAGAGCCAGAAACCATTTCATATTCATCAAAAATGGTACAGTTCCCTCATGTGCAGACAAACAAAACTCCACAGCCCAGCGTGCAAAGCTCTGCACAGAATAATCTTCACCCAGCCAGTTTCCCAGACTCACTACCCTGGGCTCCTGAGGCCTCTCTGCATCTAAATCGGATGCTCGCTCATCCCAGAATGCCCACTTCTGACCACATCCCAAGGCCTGTAAGCCAAATCACCCTGTTATCTGGAATGTACTCTTTCCCCAATCCTTCCTGAATACTCCCAGACAGCCTCCAGCACCTGGCTTTCCCCACCAGTAGAATGTGCCACGCTCCCAAGGTCTCTGTGGACTTTCAGGCCATGCCAGTAAGTCATTGGCTGTGACCTGGCCCGCAGGCATGAACGCCAGGAGAAGGCAGGTATCCTGTGTTTCTTACCACTGCCTCAACATAGGCTGAGGATGCCAGTGTGACTTATTTAATGCATGACAGAAGAAAGTGAACAGGAACTTGTGGTTCCTTCCAATGCTTATGCTTGACACGCACTCTTACCCCCCTCCCCCAAGAGCAAAAAGCACTTGTAGTGAGGATGAGCCCCTTGATATTTGCAGCTCTGACTATTGAGGACTTCATGTCATCCGCCCAGGACCTACGTTCAAGCTCAGCTCAAGGCAGCCTCTTCTATCCACCATGCACACCAGGCAGCCTCAACCAACATTGAACAACATTACAATAAATCAATCATGGACCCCAGTATGTAGCAAGGTATCTGACAATACACAATACACAATAGATGTATACTAACAAATGCACGTAAACAGTCGCTAGTTCTGCCCCCCCCCCACCCATGATTCCCAGACAAATGTCCTTATTTGTAGGTCTTAACTATTACCTCTTTCTCTACGGCACCTAAACTCTCCAGAGGGGAGTTGCATTGGGTCCCAGCTGCTGGTGTCCTGGGTTAAGGGCAGATCCAGTTACACAGTAAAGGATTGAAGCTGAGGTCCTAAAACCTGCTGCCCTTGTTGTACTGCCCGCTACCACCAGTGGTGGCCAGAAGCCATGCGGTCCCCAGCTCCTGCATGGCTAAAACTGCCATTTCCATAGCTCTGTTCCCTGGCAGATGATGCAGAAACACCCAGGTCACTTTCCAGGAGCAGCAGAGCCGGTGAATGCTTGGGTACCAAGAACAAGCAGAAAACCAGTGCTTCTAGTCCCGCCCCTCATTTCCGGGCACACCTGAGCAGGAAGATGGCTTGTAAGATGCCCTGGCTGTCCATCGACACTCAAGACCCTCTCCCTGCAACATCCCAAAGTAGTGACCCAAATATGGGATGACGGGGCAAGCACACACACCCCCCAAAACAAACAAAACGAAGCAGGGTCCTCATAGCTGTCACTGAAGCAGTCCAGACTGCAAGAGAGGGACTGGGAAGTAGTTCAGAAGTCGAGCCTTATCTAACATGCATGAAGCCCTGGATTCAAAACCCAGTATCACCAAACCAAACAAAAAGAACAGGTGAGCCCCTTGAGCCCAGAGCAGTGTGATCCCAAGCTGACCAGTAGCACTAATATAATAGTCAAGCTCCCTAGAGCCCTTTGCTGGAAGTTGAAATGGGCAGCCACCATAGGCAATCCCCTGTAGGAGGCCTGACCCCCATGGCAACTAAGAGGCTGGGCTGATGCAACAGAACACTGGACCAGAGGCTTGGGTTCAAGTCCTAACTGTGGCACCCTCACAATCCCTATCAATTTTCTCCCGGTCTGGCCTCAGTTTCCCACCTGCCCATGTCCTTGGTTTACCAGGTTTGACCAGCCCAGAGTCTCCTGGGCCTGCTCTGCTCAGATGATAGGTTCTTTTAGATCACTTTGCCTGGACCCCTAACTCATTCCTTACACCCGGGGGCCGCCCCTTCATGTGGTTCTGACTCCACAGACCTGTTGCCATCAGGAGACTGAGCTTACATCCAAGTGGCCCTAAGGCTTGCCCCGGTGGTCAGATCGCTTGTCCATAGGAATGATTGGTGGGGCAGAGTCGGTCTGTAGTGGCTAAGTCCGCGATGGCTGGGGGGCAAGCTGTCCACAGGAGTGCTACTTAACAAAGAGTGGGGACCGCAACCCCGGAGGCGCTCCATCCAGCCCCGGCCAGACACATGCCTCGGGACTTTGAGGAGGCTCCTAGGGTCCACCTGGAGTGGACACGAGGAAGCAGGGCTCGGTCCTGGCTGGATCTCCCAGCTGCAGGTTCCCAATCGAACAGCGCGGCACACCCCGGGGCTCAGCATCCCGAGGATGGAAAGGGCTGAGCCTCGCGCCCGACCGCGCGCACGCACATGAACCCCGGCTGCACCCCCTCCCCGTCCCGCGACCACTGACCATAGTGTCCGGAGCCGTAGGGCCACGTCCCGCCCCAGCAAGGAGCGAGCGAGTGCCACGGGAGGCGCTGGGCGGCTCCGCTGTTGGGTCGGGCGGCGCGGGCCTCGCGGGTGTGGGGCGAGCGCAGAAGACACCCGACCGCCCCTAAGACCGGAGCGCAGACCTCCACTGTGTTCCAGCAAGACGTACTCGGCGCGATTGACGTCGGCAGCCCGCAATCAGAAGCCAGGACGCGGGACGTCACAGAAAGTGGGTGGGACTCCATGAGCCTTCAGCCTATGTTTTGGGGCCCGTTTGACAGGAGGCCGCCCCCCTTTTAAAGACACACAGTGCTTTTAACTGGCCAAGGAGTTAGCCCAATCAGAAAAGCCGGTCCTGGTTTGTAAAGACCCAAGGACTTTTAACTAAAACTGTAAATAGAAGTCTGAATGGCCCTCATGAATTAAACAGAGTTCACATGAATATAGTTCTCTCAAGATCAGAGGATAGGTGCTTAGGAAGCTCGTGTCTGGTGAC